GGGGGGGGGGGGGGGAGCCAAAAGGACACATCTGGTGGGGTGGGACATGGTCAGAGTATGTGGCATGCCTCCTACATTCTGCCCACGGCCAACATGACTGCACTGCCCTGTGTTCCTGCAAGGTCTGCAGTTCTGGAGGGAACACGTACAGGCTCTGACCAGCCCCTGGGGGACACACAGCTGCCACACGCTGTTCATGCCCTGACCCATTTATGTGAGTGCCCAGAAAGGCTCTGCAGGGACTGTTCAGGAACAAAGCCACAAGGCTGTGATCCCACATTGCAGCAGGATGCCAGGCCCAAGCAGCACCCGCTACTCACATGACTGTGGCACCCTGTGCTAGGAGGGGTGGGGTGGGTAGTGAGGGGGGTGAGGACAGGGAACACAGTTCCGGCCAGGCAGAGCTGACAAAGCTTGGACCACACTGTTACCAGGCTGCTTTTGAACAGCACAACTAGGAAGTACTCATAGAAGCCACTCTGACCCACCCCAATGAGAGCAGGAAGACGGCATGTGGAGGCACTGCACTGAGAGATAAGGGGTGGGGGGATGGGGAGCGGGGGATGAGCCCTAATGCCTCTCGGCTTCCCTCAGGGCTCTGTACTTGCCATAAGCTGATTCCCACATTGTTGTCTAGCTGCCGTGCGATCTGAGCTTTAGATCTGGGCACTTTAGCAGAGCTGCTTCACCTCCCCCACTTTTATAAAGACATGTCATAAAGGGCACCAGGCCTCTGACTTCAGGAGCCTGACACAACCCCAACTCAAGGGGGCTTCTGTAACACAGGTCCTGGAGCCTCTCCCTGCCATGCTGGAAGGCAGCATCCTGCTGGCGTCCAGGCCCAAGAGGTGAAAGGGACAAGCTGAATTTTTCTGCCAAGCTGCAGAAAGTGCCCGAGACAAACAAACGGCTTTGGGAAAAAAAAGATTAACATGGAGGCAGAGACCTTCATGGTCCCCATAATCTCAGCAGTCTGTGTGGCCCAACAGCACCTCCTTTAAGGTCACCCCCAGGGCACTACTCCCCTCCCCACCCCTCTCACACAGGAAGAGCCATAATCCAGAGCTGCTCCCTGGTGCCCACCCGTTGGGAAGGAAGATTATCCAAGCCTGGTGAAACGTTCTCCCATGCGGCAGTGGCATGTTGGATGTGGGCAGGGGCCCTGCCATAAATCGACCAGGCTATGCAAAATTATACAAGCTGGTCCCTGTCACACTCACTTGCTGAAGCCAGATGCTGGCTAATGAGGCTGGTACAATGAGCCAACTGTATCTGCGTGATTGTGCCCCATTGTTTGCTCTGCTGCCTTGCTGCAGTGGAAGGCGGCTGCTTCTTTTCACCTCCTCCCAACAGGGCTGCAGGCCAAGAGCCTGTCCAAGTACAGAGCCCAGACCTGAGGCACACACATGGAGCTTGCCTGCTATGTTGCTGAGGTGCCCTCGGGTCCGGAATCTTCCCCCCACCCACTGCACCAAAGGGCATAGAAGACAGACCGCAAGAAGCACGGTTCTATGCCACCCCGAGGCAGCCGAATGCCACGGAGACAGAGGGAGGGTTATCTGAATGACACCAGAGGTTGGCTACTGAGCTGGCAGAGGAGCCCGGGATCTGAACGCTTCATGCCAGTCTGCCCTGTTCCCCTGGACTGCCACCCTTGCATGGGCCAGCAGTTAGAACAGTACCCAGAGAGACTCTGCCTGCTCCAGCCACTGCCTCCCACATACGTCAGCATCCCAAGAAGCCCGCTGGGCTCTCCTGAAGATCAAGTCAGGGGGCAAAGGGGCAGCAGCCACTCCCCAGCCTACAGTAAAGCAAGGGGAGAGCCACAGTGGCAGTAATATAGGCAGGGAATACCAGCAATGGGCACCAGGCTGCCAGCTACAGCTGCACGTGTCACTTACCAGAGAAGTCAAACAGGAACCGGGGCTTCCACCGCTCCAGCAAGAGAAAGCCAAGCAGGGACATGCTGATCAGGAAGAGGGGCCGCAGGGAAGTTGAGGAGAACAACCTGGGAGGGGAGGGGGGTCGGAAAGAAAGAGAGGTGTTATTGAGGAATGGATCTAGTGCTGCAGCTGGGCACACAAACAGCTGCAGCATCTGTCTGCAGAGACCACCAAGGACCACTTGGGTCTCCAAGGACATCACCTCTCTGGGTCTTGGTCCTTCTGCAGCTTGGCCACTGTGACAAAGGAAATTAGGTGGACTGGGTTAGACCTGCAGATCTTGGCAGGAGCTCTTTGGGCAGCCCCACGCAGGCAGGCTTTGCTCAGAATAATTCTTGTAAATAGCTCCATAAGCAGGACACCTCCATGCTCTCTCCCTCCCCCCACCGGGGCAGAGGGCAGTCAGGGCCTGGCAGTGGGACCCAGACACTTCTCTCTGCTTGCCTTCACATTTCATGGTTTCTGGTGACTGCTGCCCTCAGGTGAACACCAGAGTTTTGCAACTGTTCTGTGGCAAGTGGGGTTGAATGGGCTGGACGAGAATGAGTGAGGCTGAGAGCTGGAGTGTGTCAGAGATGGCCCCAGGGGAGAAGTTCCCAGGGAGGACAAAGAGGAGTCCAAGGAAGGATGGCACGATAGAGACTGCCTGCTTTGGAGCAGCCTGCTGTGCTGTTTAGGATGCTGGCACTCCAATAAGCCCCCTCTCCACCATCCCTTTAAAAGAAAAAACACAAAACCAAAAAAACCCCCAAAAAACCACCCTTTCTTCCTGGAAACTGACCAAAAGTGAGGAGCTCTGAGCTGGAAGCACTAAGGATCATCAGGGAATGAGGAAAGCCAGAGACTTTGCCCTCGTGAAGCTGCGCCAGGGTCTCCTCTCAGGAGAGGGAGGCCGAACAAGGCTGCTTCTTGGGAGAGTCCAGAAGAGTTTCTCCCTTCCCCTCCAAAGGGGCGTTGACCCCGTGTGACATCAGAGGGTGCCTCTCCTTCCAGGTGCGAGGGCTGCAGAAGATGCCTACGTGACAGAGCGCGAGGGTGACACTGCAGAGATGCAATGTGGGGGCTGGCAGGCTGTGTCCTCCAGTGGTATCCAAGCCACCCTCAGGCAGTACTGGCGGTCACCAGGCACTGACCAGCCAGTTCTCCAGCTGCTCCTCTACCCCGTTTGGCAGTGCCCGAGCCCCACTCTCAAGGCCAGGCCCCCCCAATTCACTGGCCTCCATGGAGCACGTGCATTCACTCAACATTAGCCCAAGAACTCCCATCTCTCTCACAGAGGTGCCAGGATGTAACAAGCCAGCCCACAGATCCCATCCTCACCCCGTGTTGTAGTCAGCACCCGGCTGCCCTCAACTCCTTCCACACCAGCAGGTCCCGACCCTGGTCTGCACGCCGGCCCAACCCTGCACCCACCTCCCAGCCCCAAAGCCCTGTGCTGAAGGCTCAGAAGCCCTAACTTGGATAACTTGAAGGGAAAGGGAACAGAAGCTCAGCAACCCACGGAAGGGAACAGGATATCTGGGTGAGTACCTTCCCTTCATCCTTCCTGAGTCTTAACCCTCTCCCTGCCCACGCTGTCCTTTCCTCTTTGGGAAACCTCAGACTGGGAAGATTTTGCCAGTGAACTGAAATCTGTGTTTATGCAGATCAACAGGATGTTTTGCTCATCCTCCCTGCTCGCTGCTGCAGCCGCCCATGTCAGAAGGGACAGGGTGCAAGGGACATGCCCACTAACAAACACAGCGCCCCCGGCTCAGCAAGAGTTCAACATCCTCCAAACGCACACCAATGAGGAGTGGGGCCAAGGCCCCTCTTTGCCCCAGCCTTGG